TTTGTGACCTGATCATAAAAGGCAATCAGGTTGGTCTGACATGACCTGCCCCTAATGAAACCGTGCTGGTTGCCCTTAAGCATCATCTCTGAGGCCGGCCCATTGTAGATGTGCTCCATGATGATCTTCTCAAAGAGTTTCCCTAGGATTGAGGTAAGACTGACAGGCCTATAGTTGCCTGGGTCCTCCCTCCTCCCTTTTTTAAAGATGGGGACCACATTGGCTATCTTCCAATCATCTGGCACCTGGCCCAAGCACCACGAGCACTCATAAAGCATGCCAACGGCCCTGCAATAACCCCAGCTAGCTTCCTCAACACCCTGGGGTGGAGAGCATCTGGACCCGCTGATTTGAACATGTCCAGCCCCTCCAGAAGCTCTCTAACCCGGTCCTCCCCAGCCTGAGGTCTGGAGGCGTTCCCCTCAAGTCCATCTTGCATCACGGTGGGGAAGTCCCGGTCCCTGCCCAAGAAAACAGAGGTGAAGAATTGGTTAAACAGGTCTGCTTTCTCCTCTGACACAACCACCAGATTGCCCAGAGGATCTTGCAGGGGCCCCACATTACCCGGTGCTTTCTTCATCCTCCCTATATATTTGAAAAAGGACTTTTTATTATCTTTGATTTTGGATGCAAGTCCTAGCTCTATGTCTGCCCTAGCTTTCCTGACAGCCCCCCTACAGGCCCAAGCAGAGGAAGTTTCATTTTTCCTTGCATGGCTGTTTTGGGTTGTCAACAACTGTGTTACTTATTGTTACTTCCTTTGTTCTGCAACATGTTGAGTATCAGAAATATCTCACTTCTAAATCTACAATTCAGATGAGATGTAAACTGTAGGTAAATAGATAGAAAAGTCAAGATTCACTGATACAGGCTAATGTTTTTCATTATACCAATAGCACAAAGCATCTAGAAACTTGCTAATAACAAAGTGATATTTACATTTGTTTTATGTCACCAACACAGCACACAAGAGCTGGAATTTGGGTTTACTAGTGCTATTTTCTTGACATCATTTACAATCTGTACGTATAGGAAAACTAATGAAGCGATAAGCACACAAGCTAGTTGCAGATTATTGTTAATCCACACAGCCTAGGTTAAGTAGCCAATCTCCTCCCTTACTTTCTAGTAGTGAGGCTGTATTTATTATATTTGAATACATTCACAAAAATAAAATTGCCATTTGGGTATGTAAGGGTTCTTTAAAAGGACCTCTTGGATCACCAATTTTTTCTTACAGTAAAAATATAAGAAGATAAATGGCTATTTTTCCCCCTTGGGATAAACCATGCCTCTGGAATGAAATCTAATTCTAGCACTGTTTGTCAAATATAAGATGAATTGCTTCTGGCCTTTTGCATTTTGTTTCTTTAGGACTGCTTAAGAACATACTGATATTTTTAAAAAGGCCTTTCCATTTTACTCATATTCTCCTTGGTAATGGCATACCTGACTACAAAGTGATGACAGTGAAAACAACAATAGTAATAAGAAAAAACATTACACTGGTGCCTGTCATTTAATTGTCTCAAAAAGCTTTGCAAAGGTGACAACCACCATCCATCAGGAAATTGCTAATGCAAAGTTACACTGCAATGTATATAAATAAAATTAAACTGAAAAACTGCTGATGTTTAATCACATTAAAAGTGTGTACTGCTGTTGAAAAATAGATTTTTATTGGGGTTTTTCCTACTACTTTATTGCATTAAAAGGGGACAAATATCAATGAATTCATGTTTTATTTGAACTTGTAAAATCTGTTTCTCAGATTATTATTTCTTTACAGTTCTAATTAAACAATTAGTTTTTTCTATTTCATTTTTATATATGGCAGCATAATTAAGTAGCAAGAGTAATATAATTTGCAGTGAAAAGAACAGAAGTTATATATGTTTTTTATTCTGTCGTCTATAAATTATGGGGGACAAAAATAGGTTTTCAAATGGTGTACTTAATCATATGGAGGCACGGCTCTTTGGCTAGATGTGATATCTTTTATTAGACCAACTGAGTAGTTGGAACAACGTTTTTAGCAAGCTTTTGGGCACAAGCACCCTTCTTCAGGCATAGAGAGACTCCGTAGTTGTTCTGAGATCTCCAAGGAATGAAAAAAGCTACAGCTGTGGCTTAGAACAACTACAGAGTCTCCCTATGCCTGAAGAAGGGTGCTTGTGTCCAAAAGCTTGCTAAGAACTTTGTTCCAACTGCTTAGTTGGTGTAATAAAACATATCACATCTACCCAAAGAACCTTGCCTGCCTATGTCCTCAGACCAACACAGCTACAACCAAACACACTGCAACATGGAAGATACTTAATCTTAAGCAATCCTTCCAAGTATAAGCATTCACCATTAGTCATGATTGGGATCACCATTTCTTTCCATGTTTTTTATTTCTTTATGATCACCTGCTAGCTAGCCAGAAAAAAGAACAGTCTGAGTGAAAACAATCCACATATTATCATATTGATAAAAAATAAATAAGGCCCAAAAGTCAATAAGATCTTTGAAAGATAGCGGCCAAGATTTTCAAAAGATTTGGTACCTATAGTTCAACTGTGGCATCTTTCAAGAATAAAAGAGTAAATAGATATTCCGTAGCCACATCTACATGAGACACTGACTGCAGAATAGCTCATTACTATTGTGCCATAATGTCACATGGCACAAAGTGTGACATGATGCTACTGTGCAGTAATGAGGTACTGCGCAGTCAGCATCACCCAAAAGCCATTCAGTGATGCTACTATGCAGTAACTTTGGTTACTGTGCAGTCATTTAGTACTTGTGTATGAATATGCGTATTCAGGGTCTCATGTAGATGTGGCCAGTAGTTCTGAAAATCCAGTCCAATTTATTTGGCTGCCTAAATATGAATGTAGATACCAAACTGTATAGACTTTAGTCTTTGAAATCCTGGGCTTGGGTTTTGATTCCCAAAAATGTACTTAATTTGATTCCCAAGAATGTACTAAATGGGCATTTAACCAAATACACCGTCATCCTAAACATCATTATATATGTGAATGATGTGTTGCAACAGTATGAATCACTCTGGGCATTTATCTTATAAACATGTAAATGGTTGTATGAATGGAGAAATTAATTTCCAAACTTTTTTTCTTATGAAAGGTTAGTTACAAGGTTAATTGTTATAGAATAGCTGCGTTGTGGTGAACAAGATACCTGGGTGTCAATATTAAGCCTCAGCAATTTTGGACTAGAGGCCAAATGGAACAAGAATCTTTTTTACATTTCTGTATGGTACAAACTGTAGTGATAAGGTAAATATATTGGGGAAAAAATATTTCTATAAAGTATTAAGCCCCCTCATGACATTCTGATAAGAAGTCATTGTTCAAAATAATTTTATGCAACCCATACTTGAGTGATTACAAGCTAGCTAACTGATAGATCGCCTACAGTGATCTGTACTTGGTCTAGCGCTACCCAATATCTTTAACAAGATTAAAATATTTTACTGTTGCTGAAATCTGCCAATAGTGATGGGGACAGCTCTGTTGTACAGACAAATCCGCATAATTTAATAAGAGTTTTATTTAAAAAACCTACTTTACTATATAGCCAAATGCAAGTTCACCTATCTAGAACTAAAGAATATAAGCTACACTTATAAGATGGGAGACGGTTTCCTAGAGTTCTGTGACACTGAAGAGGATTTGGATAACGGTAGAAACCACATGACCATATTACAGGGCAATGGCGTAACTTCAAAAGTGAATGCAATCCTGTAATGTTTAAGAGAATATTGAATAGGAATAGGAAAGTAGTATTACCTTCACATATGGTATTAATGGAACCATTATCATTTTCAGTTCTGCTGATAACACTTCAAAAAGAATGTTGAAAACCTGAAAAAGATAGAGAAAAGAGTAGCTGTACAGAATACTCTGAGATCTGGAAAGACTACTTTATAGTAAGAGACTTAAGAAAGTTCAATCTATTTAGTTTATCCAAGAAATGGTTAAGAGATGACTTGATCAAAGTACTTAAATGGCTCTTATTGTCCCTGAAATCTATGGACAGCCTCATCTGACTAAATTCTCTGATGACTTGTACTTTGTGCAACCAACCAATCAACCAAATTAATAGGATTGCCCATGCATATATTGTAGAAACTAAATTCTGGCAATATACGCTGAGCTAAGATTATATACACCCTTGTCCTAAACTGGTTTTTAATAATTTTGGTTATTTTGAATTAAAAAGTATGATGTATATTCATTGCCCTACCTCTCTTCCTTTGCTCTCATACAAATGGGAAGAGAGAGTGGTAAATCTGAAAGTGGACACTGAACCAGAACTAGCTCTTACAGCACCCTCCTCATAACAGCCAGTTTGTATGGTGTAAGACTAGGGGAGTGAGACACATTTTGGGGCTATTGGCAACTGGTACATGCCAGTGCAACTACTGTAACTTGGGTTGGAATTGGCAGAACATTTGGGAGCCGTAACTGGCTCACTGCTGCCCTGGTCTTGGTTATGCACAGTGACAAGTAAACATAGGTGAAAGTTTTCCCTGCACTTTCAGAGGTGAATTGTTTCCTTTTTTCATGACTTGTTGCATTGACATTTACATTAGTCTGAATATATTTTTAAATATTTCTTTTTTCAGTCTTGTCTCCAGCAAGAAGAAAAAGTAAGAGCATTCAAATTATTCTATAATTTAATTACTTAAGAAAACTAATTCAAGTTTTATTCTTAATGAAACCATGAATGTCATATACTTAAGCTGAAGTGGTAGTGATACTCTCTCTCATGGGGAAGACCCAAGCAGTAAAGCATTATTGGTCATCTAATGAGTGAATCATACCGTGTGAAAATAATGGCTGCTCATTGTAAGGATATTGCTTGTAAGAAACAGCTAGGTGCATTCCTCCTTATTCCCCTGAGGAAGCAGAAAAGCCTGAAAAGTTGAACAGTTGTTTTTTCCAGTATACTTTTTTCACTGAAAGATATTATTTGTATGCTATGCAGAATTTGACATATTTGTATTTATTGGAATGCTTATAACTGTCCTTAGATCCTAAAAGGCCTGGTTATTATTTATACTAATTACTATTCACACTAATGTTGCTTTATACTGCCCTGGAACTGTAAATAAAACTTGAAGTGGTAATAATTGTACTTGCACTCACCCTAAGGCCCCTTTTCATGATAAAATGGTGTCATCTGACACCACTAGCTGTAAGTAAGAATTTGACCTAAATATGGAGTGAGGTTTCAAAGATTTTAGGGCTACGAATGACCGTTAGATCATCTAGTTTGACCTCTTGTATGTCACGAGCCACTACATTTTATCCAGATCCCTCTCTATTGAGCAAAAAAACTTCAGCTAGACTAATGTGCTTTAGTATTGAGGAGACTAAATGTGTTCTATAGACAGATAACAGGACATAACAAGGTGAAACCCATGGTCAAAACCCCAGTGATGGCAGGGGATTGATTAAGTAAGAGATGCCCAGGTAATTTCAAGAAGCAAGCTATGCTCCGTACTGGAGAGGAAAGTAAATTCAAGGTACAGGAAGTCTGATTTGGGGGATAATTTCTTTTTAATTCTGGACCTAGCCTTCAAATTGATCCTGCACACATGACATCCAAACCAAGCACCTACAGAAAAAACATTTCTGTACCATGTCAGAACAATAGTCTACTTCATCTAGTGGGCCATAATTAGCTGTGGCCAATTTTTGATGATCCAGGGGAAAGCAAAAATAAAAGACTTGATTACATCTAACCAGTTTCACATCCAGGAAAAAAGTCTTTAAGACTTGAAGCATGAGATTTGATTATAGTCATTCCCTTAATGCAGTGATGCAAATACTATGAATATGTTAAAGATCATACAACCAATTCTGTTCTCATGGCCCATATAGGAAGGGAACAATTGTGGAATTTGCAATCACAGATTCTAAAGCCATAAAGGAGCACCATGACCAGCCCCAGCCCTTACCATGGGATAGAATTGCTCTCAGATACTGGATTAAAACATGTATTTTTTAAAGATTTTAATATTTTAAGGAAACAAGGTAAATTGTACGTATGCTTAGTTACTGTCATAACTAGGAAACTGTTTTCTATGTACTGTAGGCCTGATTCTCATTTATATTAAGATTGCTTTGGCAGCATAAAACTTATCAAAGATTAATAAAAAACATTGAAGGCCCCTGTAAAAAAAAAAAAAAGAAAAGTATTTCAACACTATAATCACTCATGTAGATGTACCTGACTGAGCTTTAACGTAGGTAATTCAGATGCTGTTTGTCCTATAACTCTAGTCTAAAGCTCAGTGTGGACTGCAAAACTAGCACCTATATACATGCCCAATACCTGCTCTGGTGCTTGCTAATAAGCACGCATTGGAGCAGACTCAATTAATTGAGTACATTTAGTACCCTAACTTTTCAGAATTGATGAGTGGATTCTCAGGTAAACTAGCCTTTTCCTAAGCTCATTGCTGATGCTGCTGTTCTTCTAGCTGTAGCTAAACTAGCTAGTTAAAAAGCTAGCTTAAATATGTCTACATTAGCTGTAATCACAGCAGTGACTGCAGTGTACCCTCTTACTTTAATGTAATTGAGGAATAGGTCCTATATGTAATTGGTTTCTAGGAAGTGTTTTATTACAACTTCCTCATATCCCTCTTAAGAAAATTCCCATTTTGATGAATGAATTTCCGTGATTTCTGTCACACTAGCACACCTAATTCATAGGGGTATTCTGGCTGAAGCCAAAAAAACCAAACCTTCGGCAAGTGCTGATCCTTAAGTACATGAGGAGTCCTATTGGCTCCTGTAAGCTGCCTCACATGCTTTTAAGTATGATGCTAACTGGTCTTGACCAAAAAGCAATATTGACCTGCATTCAAAAGTCAGCCTTAAAATTGTTCTGATTAAAAAAGAAGCATTTTTAACAGTAAAGAATGGTTCAAAGTTGTAAATTAAATGGTATATTCTTGCCCATTCTGCATACACATAAATTTAGATAGCACAGGGGGTGGTAGATAACAGCTTCCAAGGAAAGAAAGCATCTAATAAAAATATGGTTCATTTGTAGTATAGTTCTCACTAAATGTGTTTGAAAATATTAATAGTTTTTTCAAAGTTGAAATATTGTCCTGCTTTCAAAAAGAATGTCTGATTTTAAGTGATATACTGTACTTGTAGTTTCATCAAAATGCTATTTTTATTCACAGATAATGCACCTCAGGTAGCAATTACTGCACCAGGAACTGGTAACCATAGAAACAGCTCTACAGGCCCAACACCTGACTGTTCTCCTCCATCACCAGACACTGCACTTAAAAACATAGTAAAAGTTATACGCCCTCAGGTAGGTGATCAGAATTAGCATTCTGTTGTTACTTGTGTTTCTCACTTCCTCAGCAGTGTCAGCGTGTATACTATTTACTCTAATAAGGATGTTTTGAAAATATAAATATAGATAATTCAAAGATGGATAACTAGAAGAATACAAAACATTTCTATTTTCAGGAAATGATCTTGATTTAGATGTGGAGAAATTAGAATCTCTGATACTGCAATGAGCAAATGAACACTGTATAGAAAGAATACAACTTTCTCTTTTCACAATATATGTTAATGCCAACATCTTTTTTTTTAATTATCTGCATCTTTGAGTCCTATTTGTTTTCTTCCAAATTTTGTTCCTTTTCTTATCAATATCTTCTTTTATTCTCTTTTCATCTTTTTCCAGATTTATTTTCGTGTCTCTAGAATTTTCTTCCATCCAGTTGGTTTCGTAACTTTGTGTATGCTATCTATTTCGTCTTCTCTTAGCATTTGTCCATGACTATATAATTTTAAACTCTTCCATGAATTTCTAATGATTTATTTTATATATATTTTTATACTATGGTCAATAATATGGTATCTCAGCACTTTACTATAGTGCAGTAAGCATCACAACTAACTTCTGTCATGTGTTGTTTGCTCCTTCACTCGCTTCCTTCAGGAGAGATGTATGTGCATTTATGTCTTGTTTTGGTAGGGTGGTGTTAATATAGCTATGTATCTATGTATCTATGTTAAGAAAATAAAGTGAGAGAGATGAGACTTACATTCAGATCAGAAGGTGATAAGATTTGTGATTGCCTTCAGTTCCTCAGGGAGCTCCTTACACAGTCTTGGAGCCTCCCCTTCTTGAAAAGGTTCTTGCTATTGTAAAGATGAGCATTACCGGCATTCTCTTGTGCCAGAGGAGGTTGTTGATAAGTCTTAATCTTACAATTTGAGGTGGTCTCATACATTCACTGGTCCAGAATGTTGAGCACCTTTTAAGATAAGGACTAAATTTTGGAACTTAGATTAACTATTTTACAGAAGGTCAGTATAAAGGACAAGCTTGATGTGTAGCCTGTGTTATGGGGGAGGCACATGGAAGTGTTCTGTAGCAGATGGAGTAGAGAATCTAACTAAGGGACTCCAAAGGTATGACTTATAGGCCCAGTCATTGTCTGTGTAGCAGGCTTACCTTTCAGTCCCAGGCTTGAGATCCTGCTGTTTTGATTGGTGGAGCCCATCCACCAATCAGGAGGCAGCAAGAAAAATAAAGTCATGCCCCTTTCCTGAGGGGAGGGGGAGAAGAGCTCCCCCTGGACCTGATTGAAGACTACAAACTGTATAAAAGGAGCTGCATGCCCAGCACAAGGGATAATGTGGTGAGGGACTCAAGAAGAGCAGAGGCAAGAAAAGCCGGGAAGCCCTCCCCCAGCGGGCAATAGGCCTAAGGTTCCTGAAACCGCCACTGGAGGAACAGCCTTGGGAATGGTGTAAGACTGCTCAAGCCCATTATTAAATGTCCATTGTGCAATAGCTCAGTTTCACCACCACCACCCAGCAATTGACAGGTGTTTACTGTTGTAGGCACAACCATCTGGTGACCACAAGCAGTAGGCCACAAAGTCTCTCCTCCCCAGAACCTAACTTCTCCCCTTCCCCAAATTAGCCTGGGATCCCTAGTAAGGAAGTGAAATGAACATAGAAGCTTTCTGTTTACCCATCCCAGCGACTGTCGTCTCTGTAGACAACAAATCTTTGGGCAGTAGAGTCCTAGTTGCATCCCAGCACAACTCCATTGTCCATGGGTTTGGGGGGCATAAGGAGCAGTGCAGTTTGGGATGCCTAAAGGACTGATTAGACACTAGGCACAGAATGCTCTGTGCCCACACATAACATTGAACTAGTTCAAGGACTAGTTCAAAATACCTTGTAGGTTTCCTGGTGTGCTTTTGAAATGTTCCAGGAAGTTTAAACTAGTCTAAAGTGACTTTTTATCTAGACTTTTGGGGTTTAAAGTGTATTTAAGAACATTCAAAGTATTACATCTGTCCATACCTTTTGAGAATTCAGCATCTGCAGGGAAAACAAATGCATTTTTAAACTACAGACTGAACCAGCTGTTTGTGGGTATGTGCCTTCAGGAGACTGCATTATTTCCTGACTACTTCTTCTACCAACCAGAATCACCATTATCTTGCCTGGTTCAGATTTTACCAGCTGTTTCACATCCACATGTTGATCTCATCCAACTGTTTGTCAGATGCACAAATACAACATGGAGAACAACTGACTATGCTGTAGTGCTACAGTAAAGGATCTTGGGGATATAGTGAACTGTAAAAGGCATGAGACAACAGTAAAACATTGTTAAAAAAATAAACAAAAACTAGTGGCATACTGGATTTTAATAACAAGACTATATAAGTTATGGGAAGTGATTTTTTCCACTTTGTTTTGTGGAATTGGAGCTCCATGTCCAGTTTGGAGTAAATGGAAAAGAGTCCAGAGGAGAGTAATAAAAATTACTAGATTTGTGGAGATCCCTAGTCATAGGATCATAGAAAAAAATGGAGCTGGAAAAACCTTACAAGTTCATTTAGTCCAGCCCCCTACTTAAAACAGGAGCATCCATGAACTAAAGCATCCCAGCCAAGCGTCTGTCTAACTTGCTCCTAAAAACTTTGAAGAATGGGGATTCAACAGTGCCTCTAGCTAGCCTGTTCCAATGCTTGACCACACCCACAGGCAGAAAATTCATAGACATTAGGGCTGCAAGGGACCTTGGAAGATCTTCAAGTCCAGCCCCCTGCCCCCTAATTCCTCCTAGTCTCCAAACTAAATTTCCCATTCTGCAGCTTGAGACCATTGTTCCTATTCCCATCCCCTATGGACATGAAGAAAAGACCATCTCCATCATCCATCTCTGCAATTGCCCTTCAGGTACTTGAAGACTGTTATCAAATTCCAGCCCCCACCCCCCAGTCTTCTCTTCTCCAGATGAAATAACCCTAGTTCTTTGAGCCTTTACTCAGAAATCTTCCTTCCCAGGTCCTGCACTGGACTCCTTCCAAATTGTCTACATCCTTCTTGAAGCATGGGGCCCAAAACTGGACACTGTACTTCAGGTGAAACCTCACCAGTGTTGGCTAGAAGAATCATTTTCCTTTAATTGCAAATGACATTCATATTAATACAGCCAAGTATGTTGTTGGGTTTTCTTGCAACAAGAGCACACTATTGCCTCATAATCATGTTATGGTCTACTGTAATCCCCAGGTCCTTCTCTGCAGTACTGCAGCCTAGCCATTCATTCTGGAATCTGTATGTGGGCATGCCATTATTCCATCCCAAGTGTAGGACTTTGTACTTGTCTTTGTTGAATCTCATTGATTGCAAACCATTTCTCCAGTCTGTCAAGGTGGCCCTGGATCCTAGTTCTATCCTCCTCAGAGTCTGCCACTCCACCCAACTTGGTGTTGTCTTCAAATTTGCATTTTGCACTCAATCCCATCATCCAAATTATTAATGATGATATTAAACAATACTGAACCCAGGACAAACCCTTGGCGAACCCCATTTGATACTCCTCCCAACTAGACACTCAGCCATTGATGACTATGATGAGTATGATGATCAAACTGGTTATGTATCCACATTTTATCTAGTCTGTATTTCCTTAGCTCTTTAATAAGAATTCCATTGGGAAACAGTGTCAATAGCCTTGCTAAAGTTAAGGTATATCATAGCCACTGCTCTTCTTCATCCATGAAGCCTGTCACCTTATCATAGAAGGAAATCAGGTTGGTTAGCATGACTTTGCTGCCTGTTCCCGATCACCAGGGATTCTGATTTTCCCTGATAAAAAATTGCAAATTCTCTGCTAAAAAACCTAAAATCTGTGATTAAAATGAAAGGCCACTAGATATATAGGTATCAGTTGAACACAATGTTTTATTGATATATCTACAATTTAAAGCAGTTTAGAAGCCTACCAGTGCTTCATTCACTATAATAAAATAAATCCTAAATACCTAAACATTTTGGTATTTGATTTTGGGTTTTTTATAATGGAAAATAAGAGCTCCCTCCAATCCCCTTAGCTCACAGAATGCAGGTCCAGGCCCCTCACTTCCAAGCCACAGCCCCCCAGCCCTGCTGGTGCCCTTCACTCCCCCCCAAGCCCACCAGCCCTGATGGTACCCCCGCAGCCCTGCCAGAGGGGATGCCCAGCTACCAGGGCTACAGGGCCAGAGACCTGGGTCCACAGCCCTCTGCCCCCTTGCACTAGTGCCCAAACCTTGGCTGCTGTCCGCAGGAGGCAGCAGCTGTTGGAGCTGAGCTCCCCCTCTCTGTTGCTTGCCTGCCGCGGGCTCGAGCATCGGGGGGGCAGCTCCCCATGCTGCATGCACTTG